TACATTTAAAGCTGTGCCTGTGTGTTTTCAGATACGTCTAATATTGGTATGCAGAGAATATAAACCCAGTGGAGTGTCCCTGTTGGGTCAAAAGAATTAAAGAGGAACTATTCCTTGCTTGGATGGAAGGTCTGTAATTCACCTTCTGTACAGGACACTAAACGCATGGAACAGACAAGAGTAGCAGGTACTCTCAAAAGTGGAGCATACTAGAGTAACTCCAATCTGCCATTCCAGGGCCAGCCTAGCACTGTTACTGCTACTCTGCGCTGTTTCCCAAACCAGCTTAATACTATAGCACCGCCTGCCAGTGGCTGTCACCTTGTCACTGTTTAATAGCAGCATTCAACAAGACACTGACATTTCACAGTCCAAATCAGTGCTTCCAACAGCAGCAGTTTGTTGAATGACGCTGGCCTTATGCAGTTTTTCTGGGGTAAGGTAAATCAAGTGTAAAGGGCGTGGATTCGTGTGTGTTGGCTTGCTCTCTCTTAGAATAAGCAGTTAAGGGGAGGCCTTTTTTTGTTTGTTTTTTCAGCTTGTCCTTTGAGGGAAGTAAATGAATGCTGGAGGAGAGATGAAAGTAGGGAGGGCATCTTAAAATAGAAATACACAGGTTGTCCCAGCAGTATGATGGTGACCCGGAACTGTGGACATGTGAGCAAAGTACCACTGGGATAAGAGCTTGTAGCATGTCATCTGCCACACAGCTACCTATGTGCACCTTCTAAATCGGTCTTGTTTCCTAATGTGCAGTAGATTGCTGAGTTCTATTGGTTTTCTTCAGTGTGAACAGAATACTGTATATAGCTCAGCCCCTTGAAAAGATGTGCTTGAGGGTCATCCCTGTTGTTTTGCATGCTGCGCGGAGATAACGTGTTTTAAATATGATGAAAGAGTATGTAGCGGTGCATATGGATTGCTAGTGGATGAACAAGGCAATAATGAAGTTACTGTGTTTAGTACAGAGGTAGCAATCACACCATTTTTCTGCCTGTATCAGAGGTTTGTGTGATGTAACCTGCTCAAGTCAGCACATGAAGTCTGGTTAGAAGGAAGTGTCTATTAATTAAAAGATTTCTTGGGTTACTATGTGCTTGTAAAAGGGATTAACTGGTCCTTAAGCTACCAGTGATGCAGATACAATGCTATATGTTTCAGCAGTCGTCTTCAAGAAAAGTCACAAGATACACGCTGTGCATCTGACTTAACTTGTCCTCTCGCAGGGTACTTCAGCATCTTGTTCCTGGTATTAGATTAAAGAAACTTGAAGTGTAGTGTGAAGTAGATTTGTTAATACTGGCTCTTTGGTTCCTATTACTCACGAGGTCACCGTTTCTGTGCCTTGGTAATTGCTAGGTTTGGAAAGTGCATTTCCAGTGTTAGTACTAACATCAGGAGTTTTCCTCTCTGCCTCCCTCATGTCGTAGTTGAAGGGACTGCTGACATCCAGGGGGACTATTGGTGAAGGAATTGCTGCCTCTCTGCATAACCTTTCCAGAAATTCTATTACTTAGGCCAGTGATTAGGAGATGTAATGATAACTTTGCAGTTGGTGGAGCAGAGGGAGCACTGACTGAATGAGGCATACCCAAGGATGTCCTTCCTTCTCTTGTTTCTAAGACTCCAAAAAGTTTTGCCTTCCTGTGTCCCAAGGGTGATTTCTAGGTTTCATTCTCTTGAAAACCTGCCCATCACTTAAATGCATAGAAGGACTTGAGCCCTTAATAAAAATAAGGGAAAATCTTGAGAGCTGGACATTGTTGCCTGGGCTCAGATCTCTTGGCTGGCCCTTTCGGCTGTATTTACAGTAAGATGTTTCCTGGTTGTGTGATTTCCTCATTCTTTGCATCTACTGTGGCACAGACATGCATAAAAAAGATGTAAGGTAGAGCACAGATGCTGAATTCTGGGGTGATGAAAAGTTCAATGCTTTATGCAGAGCCTTTTTTCTCATTTCTAGCTGTAACAGAAAGCACCTGAGAATGGAATGAAAGGCATTAATAACCCCAGTCTTTGCCACTGCCTTCCTAACATTTAGCAACTCTCAAAAGCATAGAAGAGGTCCATTTATCTATTTATATAGTGTAGTGTGGGTTTTTTTTTTTTTTAAAAAAAAAAAAAAGAGGTATGAATTTATATTAGATCTCAATTAGCTCAAAGCCATTTTACCAGTCCCCCACTGTTTGCTAGCAGTGCTTGGCTGAGTAGAAAGTATGTTGATGACGAGTCTAAATGCCCTTTCCTGGGCTGGGCTGGTTTGCCAAGGCAGTGCTGTGGGGGAATTCAACCACAACTTCATTGTGTTCCCAGTTGCTAAAAAGTGCGGGGCACAGAAGAGAGTCTTGGACAGGCCAAGAGGGGCTGTAATAAGCCTCTTGCCGTTACTCAAGAGATCAAGGGATACTTTAATGTCCCCTCCTTCTGAAAGCCTCTTGGCTAGGCAAGACATACAGTCATACATGCAAATATTAGCCAGAACTAGAACACACAGTACTCGCAAGCTCTGGTTTCAATTGAGTCCTGGCTGGGTTGTTTCTATTTACTGCTGTATCCCAGTCTTTTGAGATGGAACACTAGCATTTATCAGTCTAGCCTGCTAAAATCTAGTGAGAGTAAAACTGGAAAAGTGGCATGGACCTTGCACTATTATTATCATTTGCGGAGCTCCGCTGGCTCCGATTAATTGCTTCCAGTTTACTTATGAAGAGAAATGCTGTGTCAGAATGGTTGTTGGCTAAAGACATGTACTCAGACACCTTATCAGAAAATCCTACTGTTTATGTCCTTTTTTTAATGATGGCAGGCAGTGCTCTTCATTCTGTGTACAGCTCTATACTTAGTGTCTAACCCCTGCAGTCCATATGTCTTTTTCCCAAGTACTGTAAGGAATGCTGCCATTGGCATAGGCAAACAGGTTTTCATTTCTGAAGCAGTGCATGTTTCTTAAAAGCCCAGGTGTGTTTGGCAGCTAAAACTAATGCCTCTGTGGTCTGGAGGTAAAACTAGCTGCTCTGGGAGAAGGGTTTTCATACACTACAGCATGAAAATGCAGAGGTTGACAGATGAAGCATTTGAAGTATAGTTGCTGAGAAGTGCTCTGGCTACATGGGGTAGAGGAATAGCTCAATTAAGGTAATTGTTTTCTGCAAGCTAATGGCTGCAGTTTCAACATAAAACCTATTCATTTTGGCCTCTTGAAATTCATACTTGACCTGGACTTGTTAGGCCACAGAGCTGCTGCAGCATTAAGCTATAGCTGGAGGAAAGACAGAATCCAATTACATTTTCTGTCTAATGGGTCATAATTTATGCTGTGAAGAAGGCAGTGATGTTGTTGGGGGGAAAAGGGCATTGAGCATGCTTGAATATGCATTGTGGAAGGCTGATTGTAAATGAAGATGAAAATGGGGAGGTATGCTTTCCTTTCTCACTTGTTTAGTACCGATGTAATTCAAATCAGAAAATAAGTAGTCATACGGGACCATACACAACACAGGCCAGAAATCTGGTTAGCTTTCATCTTGGCTGTCTAACTTGCTTTGCTGTGATTGTTGATTCTCCCCTTACTGTACTAAAACAGGATTGTTTTAATAAATTCAGCATCTTTGACTTTTTGCTTTCAGTTTCTGGTGACACTTCCAAAAGGGTATGTTCCTTCTCCTTTGTCCATTAAATGCTAATCGGTTTCACTTTTGTAAATAAATGAGGAAAAAATACCATTTTTTTCAGTAGTGGGACTCCAAATGTAGGCTCCTAAGCTGTGCTTAGGTATTCAGGTAGGAAACTTGCCCTACTCCTTAGAGAGCTGCTCAGAGAGGTTGGTTATTCTTGAAAGCCCAACTTTTAATTGATTTCTCTAAATATAGATTCAAAACCTGAACTTCGGACTTGTGTTGTCAATGTTGGCCTTTCTTTTTTACTTTCTGAGTGAAGGCTTTTACAGCAGCAATTATCAGAGCCTCTGAACTTTAACAAACATTTAACTGTTCAGCCAGGACCTCTAAATGTTCCTTAATAAATTATTCTCATTTGGGTGAGACTAAGGATTCTTGGTTCTGTACATTTAATTTCTAAACAGGAGCTATCACTGACATAGAATCACGGAATGGTTTGGGTTGGAAGGGACCTTTAGAGCCCACCCAGCCCAACCCCTGCAGCGAGCAGGGACAGCTTTAACCAGACCAGGCTGCTCAGAGCCCCGTCCAACCTGGCCTGGGATGTTTCCAGGGATGGGGGCTCCACTACCTCTCCGGGCAACCTGTTTCAGTACTTCACCACCCTCATTGTAAAAAATTCCTTCCTTATACCCAGTCTAAATCTATCCTGCTTTAGTTTAAATCCATTACTCCTTGCCCTGACATGCCAAAGACAAGATCATAAAAGACAGTTTAATTCATAATTTGAAAACACTGTAAAAAACGTCCCATTATTAAAAAGTGCCTGCCTTTTGCTGATGCCCCCAGCTTCTGGAGTGTTCATATTGGAAACTACTGTAATGTCATTCTGGAGTATTTGCATCACTGCACGTTGCTGCAGCTGCTGCCCAAAGACATTAATTGAGTTTGTAATATTGTGTATGCTCAAATCTAGTTCCATTGTAATGCAGAAGGATAAATGTTTTAGGTAGTACTGCAAAGCAGAAATCTGGTCTGGAGGAATGCCTGGATTTGAGACATTTAAGATTTTTTTGTAGTACCTTTGCACTCATTCCATACAGCAGAGACCTTCCTGGGAAGAGCACCCCAGAATATGATTCCAAATGTAAAATTCAGATGTTGGAAAGATTTGTAGAAAAACAACAACAAAAATGAGCCTATAGAAGTAGGCTATGTAGTCCTTGCTGCACTGAATCTAATAAACCTACAGCCTTTTATTATATTTGGCTCTTTGTACTTGCAGTTCTGTTTGGGATTGAATTATATCAAAGTAGTATAGTTGAGAGAAATTAGATTACCAGGAAATAAACCAGACTGAATGCAGGAGCTGGAAGGGCAACAATGTACTTCATTGAAAAGTACAAGGAAGGTGAGAGAGTACCCTCAGACAAGACACATGAGTTAAATAAAGATGTCCAAAGGGAGACTGAAAATGTCTGAGAATCATTTTGATTTCTTTCAGCAACAGTATCCTCAAATGTTCTCTCTGGCACTATTATCTAACTTGGATTATTTTTAAATTATTCCTCTGAGGCTGTGCTGGATTCAGCTGTAGGAAGTACAGAAGGTATACTATCTTTCATTGACTCCAGGCTCCCTCAATTCCAGAGAAGCATGTAGTAGATGCTTCACTCAAGTCCATGGAACAGATGTTCCATCTCTGCTGCCAAAACACCTTCAGTCACTTATTTAAAAATAAAATAAAATAAACAAATCAAGAAAACAACACCTAAAAAATGCTAACATAAAAGCCAAAGCACTGATGATATGCCATGAGAAGACAGTGGAAGAGACCAAAGTATTGCTAATATTTTCATTTTTGCAGTAGGAGAGAGTTAGGTGAAATGTGCCTGGATGAAATTGGAAGCAAGTCTCAGCCAGTACTGTGAAGGCAGAAATCACAAACTGTCAATAGTCCTTGTCAGTATATACTGGAGGAAATTTCCTTCCTAATCCAGGTATGCTCTGTCTGCCATAAACATCTCCGATTTGCTGGCTGTTTGGACTAGGTTTCTGACTGGAAGATCAAGGAGAGTAGGAGATCGAGCAAGATCAAGGACCTGGAGTATGCCAGTGACTCCCACTCTGCATTTATGATGGTTGGTAACTGGGGCTTGTATGAATGTAGTATCCCATAGAGAATCATACAGCAACAAGAAGTCTCCAAAGCAAAGACAATATGTATTTGTTGCCAGGATAGGCCTTTGAGCCAGTTCCAGTTTTAATTCACAGGAGTCCTTACAGGCTGCTTGATGTTCTTGTGCGCACACCAAGTGCACTCCCTAGTATTACAGTGTGGTAGAGATTTGAATGTAAATCAGCCCTTTCTGTATCATTCCATGTGGCCTTATAAAGGTCTGGAAGCAACTCTGAATGTTAGCAACTTCTTTTGGGTCTTCAGGGGTCCATGGCACTGTACATTCAGATAAACACTGATAGAGCAACACTTAGGAAGCCA